GGCTATTACTGATCCATTAGATGTCATGGCAAATAGCTTTTGAAAGGTGTGCAAACACTGAGAGAGGTCTGCGTGTAAGAAAAACACTCTGCATGCTCATATTCTTTTCTTGTTGTCTTAGCCCACAGCTTTCTCAATCTTCATGCCTGATGTGGACATTGATCCACCGTAGCTTGAATCACTTCCAAAACGTCAAGTCCATAGAAACAATCTTCCACATCTTTTACTTGTGCATAAGCTTGACGATCTGTCACATGCTCCTCAATGGTTCAATGGACTCAAAAGAGCTTCGCACAAGACCACAAGCTGTGAAGCATCTTCACGTGACATGAAAAATCTTCCTCTTAGTTGACAGCTTGCATATTTCAAGCTCAAAGTTGAGACTTTGATGCTGACTATGTCAAACTACACACTGACGGGGCGTTTTTCACGTAGGTTCATTAAAACCACTTGTTTTTGGATTCCCTTGGAAAATCATAGACAAAAGGGAAGAAAAATGGGGCATTTTTTGGGTGGAAACGTGCTGGCGCTGGTATTTTGATGCATACAACACATATCTTTCATAATTGTGTGATCAGATTCAGTTTGGATTCACATAAAATGAGTACGAATTGATGTTGTCATCTGTCAACTTACATTTGACGTATAGATGGAGCACGTTGGACTTTAACCCTTGCACATTGTTCACATTCACTAGGTAAAAATCTTTTTTTTATGCACAAATCTATTTATCAACCTCAGCTCTAATCAAAACTACTGATAATCCAAGACTTTTCCTCCTTAATTGGCAAGATCTTAAAGGATGTCACTGATGATGGTGATCAAGATGGCGATCAACAGTAAAAATCTCACATTTTTTCCTCTTCCCAACAGAAAAGACCACCAACTATCAAGAAGGCATGATTATTTGGTTTTGCCGTCAAAAACGATCTCTATAATGGAAGTCAATGGGACCAATAAATGAGGGAGAAAAAAACATTAAATCTGGTGCTACACAAAAACTACAAATCTGCCAATGCCAAAGTTGTTTCTAAAGTTTGTCCAGAGTGTACCCCGCCCCTCCCCCTATGTAAGCTGGAGAACCACGCGACCCTGGAAGGGAATGAGTGGGCAAGAAAATGAATGAATGAATGAATGAATGAATGCAATGAAAGATTTTTTTTTAATTTTCATATTTTACTCTTTCTTTTTTTTCAGAAATCAATGACATCATGGAAGACATTGAAGATTAAAGTGTAAAATCCTGGACTAAAAAATTTATTAGATAAAGAGATTTATGCAAAAACATAAAAAAATCTGCCACAAACAACATGAAAAGGAAGTAAATTTGCCCAGACTGTATTTTTGAGTTTTTGAAACATTGCAAAGGAGTTTCTTAAAGTATGTGTAAAAATAAGAGAAAAATAGAGAAAATTAGAAAAAAAGTGAAAACAGCATCAGCTCTGAACTGATCTAAAGGCTGCTTTACTTCCATCATTGACGCAATCATTTTCAGGGTTTTTTGTTTGTTTGTTTTGTTGTTTTTCGTTTTGTTTTGTATCGTATCTAACTGTGTTTAAGCTATACTGAAGAAACAATATATATATATATATATATATATATATATATATATATATATATATATATTACATTACAATATCTTTAAAACACACTGAATGGATTGCATCCATGCTTCAATTTTGTACATATTTGTATTTATCTACAATATATTTTGCCCCACCATCCTGTTTATAAAACTGAATTTAAATCCAGGTGCACAGATAATCTATATATATAATCTATATATATAATCTATATATATATTTATATACTGTACGGGTCATGTGTTGCAGAGTTTAAAGCCAAGCCTGATCAAACCAATCTGCTTTTCATTTTCTAATGACCCTGGAGACATTTGTAGACATGCCAGGGTTTGTTTATTAAAGTAGTGGATCGCACGTCAAATGCATGTCTAAAGTTACAGCCAATAAAAGAACATCTGCCACAGCAGCTGCTTTCTTTATGCCACACTCGTCTGTCTGTAAACGTATCGACATATTGAAGAATTGAGAGGGAAAACGGGAACTTTATTACACTGAACTGGATCAATTAGTGTGCTTCGATTTGTTCAGTACAACCTGCATCTTTGTGTCATAGAAACTCATCGTCCACTATTAGTTACACCTTGCTTGTACCGGCCTGGACCCCTCTTTGCCTTCAGAACTGCCTTAATCCTAGTCTGACATTCGAAAAGGTTCTGGAAACATTGCTCAGAGAGTTTGGTCCAAATTGACATGATCGCAACACCCAGTTGCAGCAGATTTAAATTAAAATCTGGTGACAGCGGAGGCCATTTGAGCACAGTGAACTCATTGTCAGGTTCAAGAAACCAGTCTGAGATGATTCGCACTTATGATATGGCGTGTGAAGTAGCCATCAGAAGATAGATACACTGTGGTCATAAAGGGATGGAGATGGTCAGCAACAACACTCAGGTTGATTCAATGGGCAACTGGTGCTAATGGACCCAAGGTGGCGCAAGAAAGTACCCTTCACCACCGCCAGCCTGAACCACTGATGCAAGGCAGGGTGGATCCATGCTGTAATGTTGTCGACGCCAAATTCTGACGCTACCGTCCAAATGCCGGGGCACAAATTGAGACTCATCAGACCCGCCAACGGTTTTACCATCTTCTGTTGTCCAACTTTGGTGAGCCTCAGTTTCTTCTTCTTAGCTGACAGCATGATGTGGTCTTCTGCTGCAAAAAGGTCTGGTCACTCTCCTCTGAGCTCTGGTATCAACTAGGCATTTGTAACCACAGAACTATCACTCACTGGACATTTTCTCTTTTTCAGACCATTCTTTGTTAAACCCTAGAGATGGTTGTGCATGAACATCTCAGTAGGTCAGTAGTTTCTGAAATACCAGACCATCTGGCACCAACCACCATGGTTGGACAAGTGTACCTAATAAAGTGGCCGATGAGTGTATGGTTTCAGTTCTAATCGAGTTCATATTTGGTACAATTCTCATTATTTGAATGCTACCTATCTCCCTTTCTGATCATACATCCCAGAATATTAGCACTAGGCTGTTTCTCCTTTTTACTATCATTATTTGCTGTAACTAAACATTTATTTAAGAATATTTCTAATCTATAAACAGCTTTCTGTCTGACTGATGAAATTTGTAAACTGGCTGCTGCCACATGAAAACTGGAAATGTTTGCCCCCTGTGGCAATAACAGCCATGAGGGCGTGGCAGTACTGCACTGCTGTGGAGAAATTACTCTCTCATCTCTCCTTTTATGAAAAAAATGCCTCCTAAAGTTTGCGAAACTGTGCGGTGGACATATCAGTCAGAAAAATACTGGGACATTTTTACATAACCTGCTGACTCCCAGTCAATAAAGCAGCAGTCCATGGCTTGTAATTGCAAATCGTCTAAACAAAGAGACGGCAGTGAGCTCTTTTGAAACATCTTTATCAGATTGAGTTTCACAGCAATACAAACGTACCACTAACAGTGTAACCCAATAAACCCTATGTGAGGACATCACCACGACTCTTTGCCCGTCAGATTTAAGAGTGGTTAAAAAAAGTGCCGTAGGTTTACATGATTTGTCAATATTTCATAAAGCCGATATTTTACATTAAAGTCAGCTATTTTGCAAAAAACTTGTACTCCCGGAGATTTTATCTGATCATCTCATCTTGAGGCATATGGGATGTAAGATTGCGAAGCTTTTTTGACTTTGTTGAACTTTATTTATGCGTAATTCGTAATTTTGACATAAACAGGAAATTGCTAATTACTCAGTCATGCAGTGTCTGATATGGTTAGAAATTGCCGCGCATGTTAAGAGTCCATGTCTGAACGAATCTATAGAGCAAACTACCGTGTCGGTTATAGCACAACCTAGTGGCAATATGGAATATATAATTTTCTGCTATTTTAGAAGGACTTTTGAAAACATGTGGTTTTCATTTTTTAATTTGCCTGTATCGCTCTGTAATTTTACCATTTCTCACTCGAATGCATCTTCTAAATAAGGATTAAAACTGGCCACACAGAGCTTTAATTTATAAGCTGATATTGTTGGGAACTTAATAATAATACAAAGTAGCTATGTTTAATCTTCCAGGCACAAAATGGGCACTTTTTTTTTCAAAACTCAAAAACTTTAGTTGGCCCTCAAACTCAGCAGTACGTCGCCTTGAACTACTGACTATTCTAAATCTTTTTATTTAAGAGTAAATTAGGATTTACAAATCGACAAACTAAGGGAAATTCTGGAAAACAATACTTTATGTATAATGTCTATGGTTAATGTTTCAAAGCTTTTGTATTGATCATTAAAATCTTTGAAGAGAGCAGGTGTGAGTTTGAGAAAGAAAAAGAACAGTTAAGGAAAGAGCTAAGATCACGTCGTGTAAAGAAGGTAATCACTGCATGTGATTTAAGAGCCACAGCAATGCAAAATCTTTAGGGATGAGACCAAGGTTCAAGGCATACTGATAAGCACTTTTGAAAAGATCACTCAAGTTTACAGCCTAAGCCAAGTGACACAATCCACGAAGACAGTCTGCTTAAGTAATTGAGCCTTTTCTAATGAGAGATCCAAGCTATTTCAAGTTTAAACAAATCAAATGTAGCTTTAAGTCAGAGTATTGACCTACCTTTCCTTCCCAAATGGTGAAGTGTCATTGGGATGCTGCCGGTGCTGATTCTTTATTTGACGTTCGCTGAGAAACCGAGTGTGCGGTTACTGTATGTTACTGTAGTGCCACAGATCAAGCTTACGGAAGAAAGAAGCTGGAGATGGATGAACTTCTGCTGTCAGAGACACACACAGAGACAGAGAGAGAGAGAGAGAGAGAGAGATAGTAAGAGGGGAGGAGAAAGGGGAAGGGAAACAGTGAGCCATTCGTATGACTCTGTGTATGACCTGATAAAAGGCTCAAGTGAAACATCTCTTTAGAACTGTACAAATATTTTACAAGGGCGTGAAGTAATATTGTTTCCCTTTGGCACGGTCTGTAGAGCATTGCGCTAGTAAAGCAATGGTTGTAGGTTCAAACCTCAGGGAAATCAAGAACTGAGAAAATGTGTTAAATTAAATTAAAAATGTGCCTGGGAAAATAAACAGATCAACATTTATGATTTCAGAAACATAAATAAAAAAATGTTTTTGTACAAGCTGAGCTTGAAAAAGACAGTTGGGGACCCGTATATACAATTTGTCCTGATAAATTATCTTTAATCATTTTTGTACGACCCCCAGGTTCTGATTTCTTCATTACATTACACAATAATTCAACATCAGTCCTGAAATTTGTCAAAAAGAACAGTTAGTAGTACGTTGTCATTTTTTTTACTGCAGTGTCTTAATAAGGAAACCAGTTTTTTATGTCTTATAACAAAAATCAAAAGTGTTGAGATATTATAAAAATAAATACGTGCCCCTAAAAAAGCTAAGACAAGGGAAAATAATGTGAAAAAAAAACTGTCAAACATTATGCACCTTTCCAAGCACTTTTTCTTCCATCGTACTTTTTTGTGCCAGAAAAAAGCCATATCACAGGTCTTGTACTTCCAAGGGTTATCCCTTTATTTCACAACATTCCTAATTCAAAACAGCTGGTGAGTGCAAAAGACTTCTAATGGTTAAATCCGAAAATGAACATTTCTGTTCAACTAGCTAATCAGGTTAGCCTTTCAAGCTATTGTTTCAGCCCTTTATAAGCCGCGCCCGCTCCTAGATACTCCTAGATAAAAAGCATCCCTCTACCTCCCCATCGCTTTACATCTCCTCATTTTCCTGGTCCTAAGACCCTTTCTCAGATCCCTTGACTAAATCACAAAGGGAATTATTTTTGTGTTTTAGACTTCAACTATAGGAACACGAGAGCTCCTAAGGTATGCAAAGTTGTAGCCATGGATGCTTTGCACTTTCATCTGTTTTGTAGTTTTGAGAGAGGAACTCTCATCATGTTGGATTGTCAAAGCCGACTGCTAGACCACTCAAGCTACAGCCACCAAACTTTCGCACAAAAACTATGACCACTACAGGAATTCTGGGAAACTGTAGAAAATACTGGGATGCACCATCAACCGTCAACTGATATGGGGTGACAACTTTGTAAAACTGTCAAATAGAAATGTCAAACTCGGCACACTTGATGAGGTCATCAGGGCAAGAAACCACTGTGCAAAGGTATTTGAGCTCCAAGCAATAGAAAGGGTTAAATGTTTACCATAATGCCAAAAAATTAGAAAAGGCAATGAGAATACATTCACATAAAAACAATAAAGAAATGCAAGCTAGTTATTGCTTATCAAAGTAACAACTTAATTTTTTATGACCACTGATAGCTCCCAAGATACAAAGGGAGCATTATTTTATGTCACTCACCCCTCCATAGCAACCATAACATTCAACTTGGCATATCACTATCTCGGCCAAAGTTTATGTAACACAAACCAAATATGAAGGTTAAACATAAAGATGTTAAATCAAATTTTAGAAATGGTTTTTCAAATGGTTTAGAAAAAAAAAATCATAAGTGTGCCCCCCCACCCCCCCCCCCCACACACACACACAATTTCCCAAAATGACCATTGACTACCTACTACATTTAATAGGTTGGATATATTTCATTTAAAACTTTTTTGATAATCTTGAATCTTGAACTGTATTGTTGTAATTTCTGTAAGAAGAGGATGTTAACTATATGCTATTTTTCAGAATTTATATATATATATATATACATATATATATATATATATATATATATATACATATATATATATATATATATATATATATATATATGCGTGTGTGGCAAATATAGTCAAAGAATTGAGTTAGGTAAATGTATTTATATTGGCTCTTTGGCACCCTCCTGTGGCCGTAATAAAAAAAACAACCCGAGATAACACACAGATGTGGCTCCCTCTTGTGGATAAGGTAGAATTACACCACTTCGGTCCAAAGAGCAAAAAAAGAAACAATGTTTCTTATCAGAGATTGTCTCTTGTACTGTGAAATGTAATGAACTATAATATTACCTATATTTGTTAAAACGATGAAGAAATGCGAACATGTAACTTCTTCATTATGTGAGTAATCAGAACTCTAAGCAGAGCGCCAATAACTTTTTCCCTCTTGAGGTTTCCCCTTCCAGCACTTTGCCATTGTTTCTGGGAGAGTTCTGTAGTTTTGATTGAGACGTGTCTTTATCCTGTGCTGAATGCATGTGGACAAACTTCCACCACATGCCTTGGTTCTGGCTCTTTGTTTGTCTCCCTCTCAACCTAAAAATTTCTCTCCTTGGTTACAGGTTGTCATGGTTTCGAGGGCCAGGCAGAGGCAGGATTAGGAGCCATTTTAGGGACAGCTGGCCGGGTCGATGTACACCTCCCCTTCATCCCGCACAGAGATGCTGGGGGGGATATTGTGAGAGGATTAGAGCTTCCTGTGTGTCAGCCGCATTACACATGGAGTGGGGTGGATGGAAAGAGAGTGAAAGAGGCAAAGAATGAAAGAGAAAATGAAAGAGCAAGCATATGAAAGAGAGCATGACACAGAGGGTGTTTGGGAGGAGGGAGTGAGGTCTGTACAGCTGCACCCTCAATCACATCGCACAAGTAAATGTGTGTGAACAAATACACTCGGCCATCAACATGCAAGCCACCAATCTGGGAAGCTAAACATATTAAAGGAATCAGGAGACAATTAAATTCTGACAAAAAGAAGCCATGATGAAGATTAAGCCAGACAAGTTTTGATATTTCAATTAAACCACGGGGATTGATACATTCATTCTGGCTTTATTTCTCTTTTGACAAGTCGGGACCGAAATACATCCAAGAAAATTAGATATAAAAAAGCTAGTGTTCAGCAGGGACAATAAAGTTATTTCAACGTAAAATGGAAGTTTCATTTTGAGCCCAAAAAAAGTACGATCAAGAAAGTTGAAAAACAAGACCCAGGTAGAACGTCAATCTGACCCCTGTAGCATTTCCCTTTTATCATCATCTTCATAAACCTACCTTGTCAATATGAGTTTCAGCAGACACTTTAGAGAGCGCAACTGTTCAAGGAAACTGCTGCATAACGTAAGAGTGCATTAAACTAAAAATGTACATTCAGTTGCAGAAGATCAGTTTTGGTATCTCACACATCATTCCAGTCCCTTTAACCCGAGAGTTAATCTATTCAGTGTATTTCCACTTTCAAATTAATTTCTGAAATTGCACTTAATTTTCTTTTCTTTTTTTTTAAACACAAATATTTTTCTTTAAAAAAAAATCCAGTTTCTGTGCATCATCATTTTTCTTGATCAATAGGCATTAATTTTCCTACTTTTACATATGAACTACATGTTTTGCTACAGTATCAAACAATTAAAGACTATTGCTAAGAAAAAAAAATAGTTATCGGTAAACAAACTATCAGTGCTAGGACCTAACTAAACACATTCTTTTAAACAGTATCTTCTATCCTTTCATTTCTGTCAGTAGCCGGCACATTAGGCTCAGTTGGGAATGTTTTATCCGTGTTCTCTGCTGTAAGATTTTTAGCATCATCTCCTCTTAGTTTCCTGTGGGTCAACTCCGCCATGCGCTCTACAGCTTTCACCCCAGAGGACTGTGAAGGTGCAGGGTTGGCAATCTGACTCAAACTCCCACTGTGGACTTTCATATGCCCCTGTTTAGGACAGATAACAGACATTGTTATTTCTGCATACACACGACACAAACAAGACTACCATGCACAAAGTAACGTGTTCACCTTCAAACCGCTGCGGCTAGCGTACTCTTTTCCACACTCCGTGCAGCTGTAGGGTTTTTCAGAGCGCTGTGGTTGTTGAAGGGGCACAGGTGTCCCTGATGATGTCACTTCAGTCTTTTCTTTCCCTTTCCTCTGATCTTCTTCAAAAGATTGGTCCGTTTTTGATTCATGTGTATCCTCAGCTTTCAGCTCTTCGGCTCTCTCCGGAATGTTAGCATGCACAGAGGGACTTTCTATGGTGGTGTTTGAATCATGGTCATCAGACTCAACGACATTATCTATTCCATTCATTGTTGTCTGCACACCGTTTTGGTCTGATTTTGAGTCAGTGGACATCCCTGGGCTGGACGGTGGGGTAAGGGCTGGTGAGAGATCAAGAGCTTCAGAGTTTGAACTTGGCTTTGGCCCGCTGAGCACAGTATGATTTGAGGTTCCATTCTGCCATTTTTTTTCCAACAAGGTGTCCTGGGATTTGATTCTGGTACAGAGGGATAAAGGTGCATCCTCATCCTCTTGTCCAGAGCCATTGATGGCTTGAGAAGTAATCTGGTGAACTGCGCCATAATGGTTCTCATCCAAGGCATCTACAGGGCTGTTTTCACTGGAGGGGTCCTGTTTGCTTAGTGTCGGACTAGTCTCAGGTGTATTATCATAGGGATCTTGATCTGACTCCATTAGGCCATCAGCATCACTTGATATAGTATCTCTTAAACTAGCACCAGACTCAAGTATACTTGCAGAAGAAGACATGCTCATATTTAAAGGAAGTGACTGAAGTGTTTTAGGTAGAGAAACCCCATCTATTTGACCAAGGTCTTCTCCTGACGGGATGTCACCATTACCTTCTGGAGGCAACTGGCCACCTAGATGCATGCGGATATGATGCTGCAGTACCACGGCATTGGTGAACTTGCGTTGACAGAGAGGACAGGAGTTCTGTCCTCGTGCATTTGCAGGACGTGCTCTGTGAGTGGCTAGATGAGCCCTTAAACTTCCTTTTGTGGAAAAGGACCGGCCACAGAGTTTGCAGGGAAATGGACGCTCACCTAAGTGAGTGGCCTGGTGGAGACGCAAAGCCCTTGGACAGCTTAGGACTCTAAGACAGACACCACACTGATTAGGGACCAAAGATGTAGCAGTTGACCCCTGTAGCTCTTGGCTAGTTGGTTCACTTCCCGGAATCGGGTTCAGCCCTAAGGCAGCCATCATCTCCCTTCTGTAAGCGGAGATAGCATTCCCGTTAGCACTTGTGGATATGTCATTAGCCTGAGTGTTTGTTTGCCCTTCATTTGTGC